TTCTTGGGGAAGTGGAGGACCGCGAACGAGATCTCCTCCTTCTTCTAAGGGTTTGCTAAATCTCGGGATCGTAAGGCACCAACTCACGATGTTGAGTCCTACGCATACGCACTCAACAAACACAATTAGTAGCAACGCTACAAGCGTAGCCAAAAAGGAAAACAACTCTTTTTGTGTTTTTTTAAAGGTGAATTAGACTCAAGCAATCAAATAGCAATCAACAACACCGCTCCCCGGCAACGGCGCCATTTTGACGAGCGCTAAATCGGTCGCACAATTTAGGCTCATTCAAACACATTTATAACAAACACCTCACTCAAACAAGTACAATGGCAAGCAAAGGTTCGGTCCACGGAGAACGGGAATCAAATGCTAAATAATCTTAATGCTCAAGCTAAATCGAAATCAAGGTATAAGTGGTGATTAACTAACAAACTACAACTAAAGGTTGAATTCAAGGGATTAAAACACTAGGGGAATGGGATTCACTCAACCAATAGCAATTAGGCAAATAAAGAGGAATGAGGGTAATGGAATAGCAAAGACCACATGTAAGATCAACATCAAACGATATGAAAACAACTCATATTACTAAGCTTAGATCCCTCATTAACTTAGCAACAAAAGATACATAATCCTATTGCAATAGGTAATGAAACATTCAACTCACATTTCCATGTCGAACCAAACATTTCATGCCATCAAGTTCAATAATCTAGGTTAATTACTCCTATCATGAAGAACTAACAAGCAATCCCATATAATCAAGTTTAGTCGCAATCCATCATCAAAATCACTCCCAAAATCACATAATCACCAATAGGTTGAGTTTCACCCAACCCCTAGCCAAGAGGACTACTCACAATTCATTGTGAGTACATGCAAATTCCAAGTTTGTATTATAAGCGATTCTAATATTTAGAAAAACAAGTGATTATCTATGGACAAAGCTAACTTGCAACAACAATATATCAAGATTGAGAGAAAATCAAGTGGCTTACAAAACAAAAAATAAAATCAGAAAATAATGAAGGACAAATGAAAGAAGTTACTATTGAAGCTTCAAAAATGTTGGATAATTGCTGAAATTCTTGAGATAAATCTTGAAATTTGCTTCTACAATGATTAGATTTGAGAGTTTCTAAAACTAAATCAACTAATTTAATGAAGTTGCTAACTAAGAGAGAGTATCTTTTTTGCTGAAAACTATTCTACTGTTTTTCTTCTCTCTCCCCGAAAAACGATCTCAAAAGGACCTTAAATAGTCTGTACAAAATTGGCTGAGATCGGGAAAAGGTCCGACCGAACTCTGGGTAGGTTCGGTCGGACTCAGGGTAGGTTCGGTCGAACTCTGTGTAGGTTCGGTCGAACCTCCCCGATCCTTGTTTGGTCGAACTTTTGAGGTTCGACCTCTCCTGCAAAATTGCTGAAAACTGGTTTGACACTGCCTTCACTGCACCCAGGAGGTTCGGTCAAACTTTTCAAAAGTTTGACCACACCTAGGTTCGACCGGACCTTTCAGAGGTTCGGCCACACCTCCTCTTGCACTTTCTTTTCTTGCTTCCTCTCCTTCCCTTTTGCTCCTCTTGCCTTTGTCCATGGCTTCCATACTTGGCCAAGGGGCCTCCCACCGTGCATAGGACCGTCATGGAACCTGCAGAAGATACCAAAGTTCACGAGAGCATGGGGATGATAAAATAATGTATAAAGATTATCAAAATAAGCGCAAATAAGCATTACTTTTCATTAATACATAAAGAAGCCATAAGAGGATAAATGAGGTGGAAAAAACTAAGAAGAGTAAGAGGAAAAAGACCTAAGTGCTACCCCTAAGAGTGACATAAATGTCACTCATCAACAGGTGATGGCCAGCCACCCTCGGAATGTATCCATTTCCTACCAGTGTTTGCTGAACCAGGTTGTGGCATGTTTGGAGCTGCCAGCTCCTCTGTACACTTTGTCTGTAAATGGTGGAAATGTTGTTGAGCTGCACCTTGATACGGGTGACATGTTAGGGCGCTATGTGTACAATGGTGGTCCGGCTGATACCCTCAAAGCCTCAATTGAAAAGGCATCTGAACAGGCTGTTAGGGGGTTAAGGGCTGAGTTTGGTGTCCAGGTTGATGACTTTTCGAGTGACAGAATTGGTAGGCTAGAACGTTGTGGGTTCTTGTATGAGATGAAATGCTTGGGGTTGGAATCTATTGAAAATCCTAAGACACCTGTGAGGTGGCCTTCTGTTCCAAATCAGAAACGCGCTGCTAAGTACGTCTGCATTGATTACCTAGATGTTTTGCGCACTTTGGCTGATGAAACTAGAGCCAGTGTCTCATCAGCTGAAGCTCTAGAAATAGCTGGCAAGAAGTGCATTGCTTGGCTTACAATATGCAATCCATACTCTTCTGCTGGTCAAGATTGCATATACAGTTCACTGACTGGGAAATGCAAGACTGCTGCTCAAGATGCAGCAAAGAAAGGAGTACACTTTTTATGTTCAAGGTACAATTTGAACATTGTGGATTTGAATCATGCAGATGTGATTTATGATGGGATTAAGTGTGCTCTGGCAAAGGAGAGTTTTATGGCAGTTATGCAGCGTGTCTTAGGTGTTCAGCAACCACTGCATTTGCCTCCGTTTTTCACTACAGCTGAGTGAAGCACTCCTAAATCTACTGCCCATCAGTTAGAGTCTTCTGGCTGTCGCCCAGCTGCACCACGGAAGCCTAAAGCACGCCCCAACAAAGCTTCTCGGGCTACTCTTACTCCTGTTGCAGTCCCTGAAGACTTGGAGCTTGTGTTTAAGCGCAGGAAATTAGAATAGAATCTAGGGGGAAGGGTCTTTTGGGGGCTGTTTTGTGAACATGGCACATTCTTATAGCCATAGCTAGATATGCTTGTTTAGAAACTAGCTTATGTTTCTTGTTAGTGGTGATTAGCACTACTTATGTTTGTTATTCCTAAATGGCTGAAATTTGTGAGTGTGTCAGGACCCATTGGCCAGTTTATGTAAGCTTATGATTTATGTGTTTCAATGATAATGATTCATTTTCTGCCTTATAATTCTGGACTACTGTCTGCTTTTGTTTATGTTATAGTGTTATTTTCTATTGTTCTTTATGTTTCTATTTTTGTTTGCTTGTTCCTAGAATTGCTGCGTTCAACGTTCTGCAGCAGCTGTATTTGACTATATTTGTAGTGTTGCTGCCATGAGTAAGGAATCTTGCCTTCTTTACTGTCTAGATGCCTGTTGTTGGCCATTTTCTGAGTGTGGTTGTTTTAAATTTTATGTGACGTAGACCGCTGCCTTAATTACAAGACACCTGCTAATGCTCGTGCCAGCAAATGCACACGGGCCTTGGATGCTATGGTCCAGCCATACTCAATACGGTATAAATTGTATATGTGATGTTGTTGTTGTCAGCTTTGGTGCACTGTGGTGTACAATGGTGTTTTGCCTGATAATGTTTTGCAATTGCAGTAAAACTGGCGAAACAAGTCTTTAGGGTGCACAACAACACGCAGCTAAAAAAATAAAATAAAACCTAAGCCTAAGCCAAAACCAGAGGCAAAGCCAAAGCCTAAACCAAAGTCTAAACCAAACAGTGAGCTCCTTTCATGAAGCGTAATTTGTTATTAGCTTACCTTATAAACTAATTTTTTACGTTGTGCTGCAGTCAACCCGGCTGCTCTTATTGGTAAGCCGCTGCAAATTGGCCCTTTGCAATTAAAGGTGCTGCATCCTTGTCTGAAGTGTGGTGCTAAAAAAATTGAACATGAAACATTGCATTTTTGTTGTGGAGATGGGGATATCAGAATTGCTTCAAATGAATATCCTCCTGAATTGGAGTGTTTATTTACATCTGCCGATGAAGATGCAGTGCACTTTAGGAAATATGCTCGGCTGTGTAATAACTTATTTGCTTTCAGCTCGTTCAGAGGTGACTATGAAGCTAAAACTGAAAAAGGAATTTACGTGTTCAAAATGCATGGTCAGATATATCATTTTCTACCTGATCTGTTACCAAAGAGGGGGGCCTAAGTTCCTGCAGTTGTATTTCTATGATGGCTATTGTGAGGCTGCAAATAGGACTAAGTGTTTTCCAGAAGTTAGGGACGATATTATTGAAATTCTAATGAGAGTCACGAAAGACAATCCATATGCTCGGTTCTTTCGGTCTTTAAAAGAGATCAGTGTAAGTGAGGATACGCAAATAGTTATCAATCAACATGTAGTTTTGGACCAACGCATATTTAATGCACCAACAAGTAATGAAGTGGCTGCTATATGGACAGACAGTACAGGTTCTAGCAACTCAGAAGGTCCATACATCTGTGTGTCTGGTAGATCAGACGACATTCATCGAATATATCATTATTATGGATGTTATGATCCATTGCAGTATCCTCTTCTATTTCCCTATGGTGATTGTGGATGGGCACAGGGGATGTGCAAAAATTACAGAGACAAGCAACAACATGGTTCAGCAGCAGTAAACCCTGTGCATTCATGTTCTGTTAACACAGAAGAAGATTTGCTTGCTGCAGAGGCTCTTCGTGAGTTCCTATATTATTATGACCTAATTTGCTCTTTTGTTATTGCTATTTGGGGAAAAAAATTGATACAGCCCTTAGGTCATTATGCTTACTGTCTTTTGTGTCCTATGTTTAGGTGCTTCGGAAAATAGTGGCACTTCATAAAGGCATATTTCCCCAAGGCAATATTATGCATATAAACTTCAAAATCGCCCGCACAATATGTTGATTCGTACAGGGCGTTGTTTCCAGCAGTATATTGTAGACATGTACATCAAAGTAGAAAATACACAATTAGATTTCTTCAGGCGAAATCAGCAAACCATACGTGCTGATTTTTTTTCTAGGGAATTCTAGATTCTGAAGAAGGAGGTGAAACAAATGCTATAAATGTTGGCTGTAGAGTTATTCTTCCTCCGACTTTTATTGGAGGGCCACGTGATATGAAATGACGATACTTAAATGAAATGTCATTGGTTCAGCGCTTTGGAAAGCCTGATTTATTTGTACCTATGACATGCAACGCTAAATGGCTTGAGATAACAGCTGAACTTGCTGATAGGGAACTTGCAGAAAATCGTCCTGACCTTATAGCGCGAGTTTTTCGATCTAAACTTATCAGCCTTAAACATGAGATCATGAAAAAACATGTGTTTGGTGAAGTTGAGGCAATCATATATGTGATTGAATTCCAAAAAAGAGGCCTTCCTCATGCTCACTTCTTAATCATTCTTAAAGGTGAATACAAGGTCAAATCACCTTCAGATTTTGATAAGTTTGTGTGTGCTGAAATCCCTGTTGAATGTGGCAATCTTCAGAAGATAGTCTTGGCCCATATGATGCATGGCCCTTGTGGCCTACGGAACCCTTCATGTGGGTGCATGAAGAATCAGGAAGATGGCTCTATTGCTTGTATGTATAATTATCCTAGGGCATTTCTAAGTGAAACAACAAACAATGAAGATGGCTTCCCAATGTACCGAAGGAGAAATACTGGTGAAAGTGTGCGTATTCGGGGAGCTAACTTAGACAACCGGTGGGTCATTCCGTACAATCCTTATCTATCAACACTTTTTGACTGCCATTTGAATGTTGAGGTTTGTTCAACAATTTAGGCAGTTAAGTACTTGTACAAGTATGTGTACAAGGGCCATGATAGGGTGTCGTTCAATGTGGCAGGCCAGCAGGATGCAGCTTTGGATGAAATTAAAAACTTTCAATCTGGTAGATGGGTTTCTCCATGCGAAGCAGCTTGGAGAATTTTTGGATTTGACTTATTTGAAATGCATCCGTCTGTTCAGCTCTTACCTGTGCACTTGCCTAATATGCAAACTGTTGTTGTGCACCCGAATGAACGTTTAGATATTGTGGTTCAAAATGATAAGTGTTCACGCACTGCTCTTATAGAGTTTTTTAGGCTGAATGCAGCTACACCTGGTGGTACAGGTCACCTGTACAGTGAGATGACTGAACACTTTAGGTGGGACAATGGAAAAAAGGCATAGTTTCAAAGTCAAAATAAAATAATAGTTGTTGGGCGCTTAGCTTTTGTGGCTCCAGGCGAGGGTGAGCGGTTTTTCTTGCGTCTGCAACTTATTAATATTTGGAGTCCCAAGTCCTTTGAAGATTTGTTAACAGTGAAAGGGCAAGTCTGCTGTACTTTCCAGGAAGCAGCCATTAAAAGAGGCTTAATGGAAGCAGATGGTGCAGTAGTGGCTTGCTTAGAGGAGGCATCAGAAGTGCAAATGCTTGTAGCAATGAGGTAACTCTTCGCTACTATCCTTATTTTCTGTCAGCCCAGCAATCCAAACAGTTTATGGCTACGCTTTTACAGTTCACTAGCACAGGATTACAGGTATGCAAATCCAGGAGATGAAGACAAAGCAAGGAGGTTAACTGTAAGATCAATTAAATAGTCATTAGAAGGCATGGGTAGATCATTAGCAGATTTTGGCTTAGGGCATTTAATAGAACCAGATGATGCAGAAATCAGGAAAACCAAAGACATTGTTGATGCCTTGGAAGCACCAATACCTGATGAATGCATTTTTTGCAGAGACGCTCTGAATTCAGCTCAGCAGATAGCCTTTGATAGCATTATGGAACATGTAAATGGCAGCATTGCTGGCTGCTTCTTTGTAGATGGTCCTGGTGGGACTGGAAAGACTTTTTTGTATAATGCACTATACGCTGAGGTTCGGCAAGCTCACAAAATTGTATTGCCTACTGCAACTTCAGGGATAACAACTTCAAACATACCATCTTGCAGAACAGCACATTCCAGATTCAAAATTCCTCTTGATTCAGAGAAATCTCTTACATGTGATGTTCCTAGACAAGGTAGCCTGGCCGCTTTAATTAGAGCCACTTCTTTGATAATATGGGATGAAGCATCCATGGCACGACAGGAAAATGTGGAATTGCTAGCTAGATCAGCTTCTTCGGGATCTCTGTGACCCTGATCAAGTATTTGGAGGAAAGGTGGTTGTATTTGGAGGAGATTTTAAGCAAGTTGTCCCTATTGTTCCTAGGAAGTCTCAAAGAGAAATTGTAGCTGCAAGCTTAGTCAGCTCATACTTGTGGCCTAAGATGATAAGGTTCCGATTGACAGAGAATATTAGAGCTAGACACGATGCTGCATATTCTGAGTTTTTACTGGCGCTTGGAAATGGACAGCTGCAGAATACTGAAGTTGACTTTGTGCAGTTGCCAGCGCACATTGTACGTTGCTATGACCCGAAAATTGATCCTATACCAGCGGTGGCATCTGCTGCTTTTCCGGAAGTTGACAGCATGGACATGTGTCCAAACATTTTTACAGAGATAACAATCCTTACCCCTATGAATGAAGATGTAGATTCAATCAATACTTATTTGATTGACCTATTCCCCAGAGAGCATGCTTCATACAAAAGCTTCGACTCTCTTCTTGATGATAATTGTACTCTTTACCCGACTGAATTCCTGAACAAATTATGTCCTGGAGGTATGAGCCCTCATGAAATCATCTTGAAGATAGATTGTCTTGTTATCTTACTGCGAAACATAGCGCCATCTGAAGGTCTGTGTAATGGAACAAGGCTTATATGTAAGCGTTTTTTGCCCAATAATATTCTCTGCGTCATAGCAACAGGCCACTACAAAGGGAAATTTTGGTTTCTGCCACGCGTTAATCTCTGCCCTTCATCTTCAGCAAATTATCTCTTCCAATTTGAGAGGAAGCAATTTCCCATTAAGATTAGTTTTTCCATGACAATAAACAAGTCACAAGGTCAAACATTGAACAAGGTTGTTGTATATCTCCCACAACCTTGCTTCTCACATGGCCACCTATATGTAGCTCTCTCACGTGCTAAGAAATCCGAAAAAGTCATTGTCTTTAGCCCAAAGGTATCTACTGCTTTGTCTGCTTCACATGTAAAAAATGTTGTTTCTTATGATGTCTTAAGGTTAGCTTCAATAATTTAGGCAGGTGCAACCACAATATTTTTGGTCTTGTTACAGCTTAGTTGCATTAGTTTTTGTACACATAGCTTGTTGAAATTTCAGAATTCAGATACATAGTTTGTGTTGTTGGATTTAGATACATCAAATATTTCTTTACTTTATATGTTATTGCCTTCATTTGGTCTTATTTTCTATGTTTTGTTTGCCATTATTTATTTTAAGTGCTAGGCTACATGTGCTACATATTTGCTAAACAAAGAACTGTTATTCTTTACTAGACTTTAACAGGAACAGTCATTTTAAAACATCTTCTGACTAAAACTTAGCTTAGCATTAGTACAAAGAATAGACATAAGACAGTGATTAATCTCACTTAGCATACATAGGACAATACACTTAATAAAGCTTAAGTACTAGACATTGAACACCTAATATAAACCTAGACACATTTTAGGATACATTCAGGAAATTAATAACATTCACTTAGACCACTAGCAGTGCAGTACAGGTCTACCAGCCAGCTAGATGACATAAAGGCTTTTTTGCTTAAAATGAAACTCCACCTGAAGCATCACTTGCAGAGGTGTATGATGGGCTAGAGCGGTGGTGGATATCGGTGCTGTGAAAAATTTGATGCCCGGTGTACTTGCTTGTTCCTTCTTGTGAGTTTTGCTTAGCATCAACCTCAGCATTTTGCATGTAGTAGTCTCCTTGTTGACTGGCCAGGTTCTCTTCTGGTTCACCAAAACAGAGATCAGAAACAAGCTTCTCTAGCCTTTGCATCCTCTCTTCAAGTGAATTAACACGATCCACCACTGCCCCTATGCTTGCTTCTTTAGCCGACCCGTGCTGTCCACTGCTGCCCTCCTTGCCTTTGCCCTTGCTTGCCATTGTGAATTCTTTGCTTTTGAAATATGCTGTTTGAAATGGCTAAGATCACTAAAAAAACACTATATATTTATACCAAGTTAGTCTCATTTATATATACAAAGATGATGTACTCTATTGTTTTTAGGATAAAGGATGTCTTGCATAAGTCATGTCAACACAACTCATACACCACAGGATTGGGTTAGACCTTAAATAAACTGGACAAAAGAGCCTACTCATAAGATCATATGCTACTGAACATTACTTATAGCTAGAATTGCAGACAATCAGTGTGCAGTAGTTTTGAACCACTTGATGTATTGCATAGCATATAAGTGCCTATCTGATTGTACACAGGTGTTGGCTACAGCTATATGCTTCAGTAAAATGTAAGGCCTTTAATCTGAACCCTTTATCCAATCATCCTGTTTTGTAGATCTACTGTACACTATGCCATGAGCTCAACAGATTTTTTCTATAAAAATAGATATTTTAAGCATCTTTTCTTGTTACATTTAACTTTCTCAGTTAGGGTTTAAGCAATACTACAAAGATGTTTATTAAATCAGTAGTTAATATATAAAACAGACAACATAGAACATCTCACTTCTGAAAAACATGTAATTAGGAATAACACACTAGATCAAGCTTCCATATAAAGGTTATCAACACAAGTAGCCTAAATTATATTCAGCACAGTGCACTTTTCTTATTATGTCCTCACAAACTATTGTTAGGACTTATTACATTAAACCTAGACTAGGGACTATCCTTACTGATTCACATTGGAACTAGATCTATATCAAACAGTGCAGGATATCCTTTTCTATACTTAATTAATGCGCCTTGATTTTCCTGGACATTATACTGAGATGTGAAATTGGTGACTCTTTTTATCTGGATTTAGGTAATTAGGCCACCATTCTTCACACATTTCACTTTAGCATGAAACTGTGTATCAAAGCTCTAAAGTAATACATAACTTGAGTCCTCAAGCTCGCTTAACCAGTGATTTGCAAATTCGACAGGCACATTCTGCAGACAACAAGATAATATACAATGTTATTACATACAAATAGTTTGGAGCTTTTTGTTTTTAATAAAAAAAACCAAACACTTATTATGGACACATACAATTGTCCCTACCTTAAGATAAGGTGCTGTAAAAATAAATCTAAAATGCGGCTCACGACAATGATCTGCAAGCTCCTCAAGGCGACCATTTGTTTCAGCCATACTTGCTGAACTGCCATGATAAGCTGGCTTACGTCCTAGCCTCTTGCTCGAGCTGCTATTGCCCTTGTCAAGTCTTCTATCTTCTGTTCTCCTGCCACCTGTTGGCCTCATTATCTGAACATAGAATGCACTCTGTCCTGTATACGTAAATTTGAAATCATCGCCTGGGATTACACCATTATCCCTAACAAAATCACACCAGCCACCTTCTAAAACAGTGATCCAGTTATCTCCATCCTCTTGTTGTACCATGGTAGCTTCCCAGATTCTTGATTTACCATGCACTAGCAAATTAACACCTTGAAATCCTTCATATAATATGCCTTGAAATTCATCAGGAATGCGCTGTAAAGTAAAATGCAAGGCCAAAATATCACCACAATTATAAAGTTAGCAATAAAAAGCAAAATCTAAGCATATAACAATTTTAACATCCACATTAATCGTAACTGCCTGTGTTAAAACATAGAAAAATAGTAGATCAATATGGTCCATTTCATACCACTATCTCTACATGCTCAGGCTGATAATGAACAATAAACGTAGTTGCATACCCAGCCTTTAAACTTGAAAAACAAGCTATTGGGATAATTGTTGTTGCTTGTAATTACAGTTTTATGAGTATTACATGCTTGATAGCAAGCAATACTATATATAGAAGCAAAAACAGGCCAGTTTTTTTTATCACATTAAATTCATTTAATATAGCTTTGACAAGAAAACACTTGAATAAAATTCTGTTTTCAGACATTGAAATAGAAGCCATATTCAATATTCTTTTTGAAAATTCAATGACAGTCATAATTGTAGGTCAAAAAAAATCATGGAACTCATAATGCTCCACAAATATTTGTATTTTAAAACAATCACGTATGTTTTGATACAGATTTAGCATATTTCATATAAACCAGATATCCTCAAAGACATTATATTATCTACGAATTCAACAGCAAGCCATTTCTTGATGCCAAGCATTGTACCTAAGTCAACTGTATTCATGAAAATTGTGCTGCAGTAAATAGCATTACTATTGTTAAAGTCGACCCAAATTGTTTTCATTACACTTTCAACCCTTGATTAATTGCACAGCTTTGAAAACTCTTGAAATAAAATGTTTTCAACAATCAGGCATGATGCAATAGATATTCCTTCCCAATAGTCATAAACAAGCTATTTACTATTCTCCAAAAACATAACATATAAACAAGTAACTGACTTGTTCTAGGCTGCCATGTATGTCTTAACACAAATGTATTATGTAGTGGCTTACTCCCAAGACCAATACTAAATGTGTGATTCTATAGGCCCAGCTTTACCTTAGTCTAAGTTCTCAGCCTAACACATATGCTTATGGCCACATATGCAGCCCATTCCTTTGATTGCCAATATATCTACATTTCTCAATCCATAATATTAGCCAATTCACTCTCAGTTTTCAAGAGTGACATTATTTTTAAAACAAGACAAAAAAGATACTATATTGTAACCAAGTAATCATGGAACAACTAATTATTCAGTAGTTATCAAATAAAACCAGCTATCACCTCCTTCAAGACTATTACACAGAAGACAACAACTCTACCCAATTTTAACATGATGCTATAAATAGACATTGAAAAGAATCACCTTTTTTCTAATATAGATTTCTTTACCATGATAGCCTGCATTTTTAAAATCGAAAAAACTAAGCTCTGCAACTTGCAAAACAAAAGCAATGCAACCAGACCTATTTAAATGCTGGTTAATAGATTGCTGCCACCACTGACATTTTGTGCACATAGGTTATTAGATAGCAGCTTCTTTTCAACCAGCTCCAAATCTCCAAGAAATACCTGCGTTGGTAAACTTCAATGCTGTACAAATCAATAAAGCAGTTCAGCTTTCTAGGGAACTAAAGCATAGTAGCAGCCTTTAATCTGTTGGTTAATAAACTACTCTCATCATTGCTTTATTTTGCACACAAGCTGTAAAGAAACGGCTAAATATTTTGCTGTATATTTCAAATGCTATAAGTGAATACTACTAACAGCTACCCTCTTTCCTGTTACACAATTCTATACACAAGTCGCTCCAACTTCCTCTTCTCAGCCAATTGCATATCAAAGTAAGTTCATTAATGCCTTCTGCTATTTATTTTTATCTTATACAATTAATAAAAATAATATTATGCATGATATGACTATATTATTCTTTCTTATATTGAAATTCTCATGTACATGGCATTTAATATCAATCATTTCTGCCTATATCATATAGCAACCTAGATCTATCATATCTGTTTACTTATTTTTGTTGATTTTTTGCTTGCAATTCTTACACTTAATGTTTCACAAAACTATTTCCTTAGATATACTTCATCTGGCATACTTAGATTGTTTACCACTTTTTTGTACAGCATTTAATTTTTATGAAACTATATTAGAGTGTTGCTTCCAGCTAAAGTATACTTATAGCATGCACAAATTACACTTGCCTTACTTAAGTGCCTGTATAAAACCTGAATCTAAATTAAGTTATTGTAACTTTATAAGTAGGTGAGCTAATCAAACCTTGTTGTGTGCCTGCATATATGCTTAGTAAGCAAACACATGAAAGCTACTTAATACTTTGATTAATACTTAAGCTAGCAAAAAAACAAAAAAATTATGGAAGGCTGCCTAAAGAATGATATGTGCATGCAAATAAGCTTAGTTGGACAAAACACTCACATGTATATATTATTAGATGAAGCCTGAATATGTGCCAGTCAGCAAGCTCACTCCTAAAAGCAAATCCTACAAAATCAAGGTAGTTGTTAAGGAAAAGTCTCCTGTAAAAATTCTTGCTAATAAAGAAGATTCCAGAAGCTTGTGTTTGCAGACGATGAGGTACCATCTTATGGTGTAGTTATCTTATTCTACATGCAGTGTTGCCTA